CTGGGAGGTGGACAAAATATACATATTGGCCAGAGAATGTGTCCAAAATTAGGGAGTGAAAGGTAGTTGATTGACTAATGCTAGAAAGTGGAGAAATTCTGCCCAAAAGTGCTAAAAAAAATATTGCGCGTAAATTGCACCTTTTTTGCATATGGGGATCTGTAGCGTTATGATCAAAGACAAATATATAAAACCAGATCTGCAGCTACATGGTCACCTGAGCATATTATGCTCAATTTGATGAATACATGTATTATGTAAATTATTGAATTATATTGACTTTTTCCTTGGTAAAGCCCAATATGAAGAAGTGTGCATTTAGAGGCAAACACCATAGTGCGGGTATTACTGTCTCATGACAGCATCTAGTTCTACAAGTGGTTACTTATACTCATAGTTCCTTTTTTAAGGAAGAAATTCTTCAAAATCATGTCAGTTTTAAATATTTTTAATATCCCAAAGAACCAAAAATGAATTTGAACTACAATATCTATATTGGATTCCGAAACCTCATAAAAATCCTTACTAAAAAAGATACATAGCGGGTTCCAGTAAATGTTTAACCAAGCCTCTTTCTTTGCTCCTCACTAAGATATTAACAGTAGCAAAGAAGGAATTTCAAGAGTACTGTGCAACAATATATTCAAGAAGTGGTGTAAATCAGATGTGGGTTCTAAAAAATTCCAAGGAACTTTTGACTTTATATACAACCCTTCCCCAAGAAAAATTAAGGTCCAGGCTTTTCGACAGCTGATTGTTCAATAAAAATGGAGCTCGTAAATTTACATACCTTGTAATTGGTTTTTTGCAAATTCTTGTTAAAACGTTCTGATTGTACACACAAGTACTGTGAAGTTGACATCAAAAAGATGCTTGAGTTTCTGATTAATAATATATATGTTGTTTTTGGAGACCAGGTATTCCAACAATCTCCTGGAATTTCCATGGTTACCAATTCTGCATACCAACACATCTAACATCCATCTCAGATACAAGGGCGATGATAGGAGCTAATACCAGCAGTGATCATGAACTGATAAGGTATTAGATCAGAATAAAATTGAAGAAACAAAAGCAAAATGCATGTACTTGTAGAAAGAAATATGATGTCACAAAATTACAACAGCTGTAGAGAAAAAGAAAGCATTTAAGTTGGGACTGAAAAATAGATTCCAAGTGATAGAAGAATTAGAAAGTGTTAAAGGCATCTGGGAAAATATGATAAAAGGTAAAATCGAGGCAGCAGACAACATACTTGGAGTGAAAGAAAAGGGACAAAAATCCTGGATAAGCAGAGACTCTTGGAAGGTGGTAAAAGAAAGAAAGAAGTTGATGATGTTAAAAGCAGACACAGAGGCAACAGCAAGCTATTTGGAAAAAATTTCTCATCAATTTGGAAGCAAGACACTATGCGATCGGTTTGGAGTCAAGCGTAATTATAGAGGCATAACACTTTTGTCTGGCTGGCAAAGTATTCTTTAGAATAGTGTTACACAGAGTTCCAGATGGAGCGGAATAGCAGTTGCGCGAGGAACAAGCTGGGTTCAGAAGAGGGAGGAGTACAACAGGACAACTATTTACACTCCGTAACATCATAGAACAATGTACCGAATGGAACTCCACATTGTCTATAAACTGTGTTGATTTTGAGAAGGCATTCGAGTCCATTCATAGAGAGACCTTTGGTCTATCATGAAGTTGTGTGACATCCCTGATAAACTGATTAGAATAGTTAAAACACCTATATAAATTACTCCACTGTGCAGTCTTAGAAGATGGAGAAGAATCTGACTGGTTCCAGGGAACAACATGAGTGAAGCAGATTTTCACAATGTCTGGATTCCTATTTTTGTTGATTATAGATTTCGTGATCAGATTAACTACAGAAACAGAACCAATAGAAATAAGGTAGAATTTCACACACACACACACACACACACACACACACCCTCACACACAATAAAACTTGAAGATCTATACCTCGCAGAGGCTTGCTCTACTTTCCTATAAATTTCGTGACATTTCACAAAAGACACAAACAATAAATGAAATTGCTTGTCAAACTGGCCTTAGAAAAACATTGAAAAACAAGAGGCCCATGGGCCACACCGCTCACCTGAGAAGCTTTGACCATTCTGTTCTTTATCAGATTTCCCCCTTTTGATACATATTGCGACCTCACCCTACCCCCACTGATCATAATTTAGACATTTAGGAAATTGGCAATGTTACTGAGGATGCTTCACCACACTGTGACATAAGTTTCAGCTTTTCTGGCCCAGTGGTTCTTAAGAAGATTTTCAAAGATTTTCCTATATATTTCTATATAAAACTTTGATTCCCCATTGTGGCCCCGAGATTACAGTTGGATTGATTTGAACAATTTAGAATTTACACTACCAAGGACAGCTTCCAGGTAAGTTTCAGCTTCCTGTGCCCAGTGGTTCTTGAGAAGAAGATGAGGTCAAAGATTTTTCCTATATATTTCTATTGTATAAACTTTGCAAATATCATTATTTTTAAATAGGCCAAATTCATGATTTGAACAATTTAGAATTTACTACCCTACATGTACCTTTAAAATTTCAGCTTTTCTGGCTCTTTTTTGTAAATTTATGAAAGATTTATATATTTCTATGTAAAACTTTGATTCCCCATTGTGGCCCCGCCATAAAAGAATCATTTTTGAATAATTTAGAATTAACACAATGTTATGCTTCCATCAGAAGCACAACATTAATGTTACATATAAGAAGATTTTTTAATGACGACCCTATTTTTGTCAACTCTTTTAGAATCTATTGCAGCTTAACTTACTCATTTTATTAACAATCAAAATGCTATTTTGGGAATGCTTTGTACCAAGTTTGGTCAAAATTGGCCCAGTGGTTCTTGAAAAAATATAATGTGACGTGTAACAGGATTATGACAATGGTTTTCATAAGAATTAAAGGAAACTACATGTATTTTTGTAAGTGCATGGCTATAGCTATTATTTTTATGATTTTTAAAGAGAATTTACTGAGTATTTAATCATCTCTGGTACCTTGGAAATGCTAACAAAAATGAAATCTCAGTATTGAATGATTACACTCCAAAATTGTAACACATAATGACATGGCATTTTCAGATTTAGACATTTCAAAACACAGACTTGTCAAGAGAGATTACAGCCCTTAAAGGTTAGTAGGATGTATTATTGTATGAAATTACAAAATCATCTGGAAAATTCAAGGACAAGTGTTAGTGGTAAGTGTAAAGAGGAATCTTCCTGATTTAAGACCACATCCGTGTGTTTCTGTAATATATAACATAATTCAAAGCATCTGACATGCCTAAGAATTAATTTGAAATAAGATTTCAGATATCTTAATAATTATATACTTATAAAGGAACTGAATGCGCGCCCACTTTTTCTTTCATCATTGAAATTCTCTCTTGTAAGACAAACTGAATTTTTCAATTGGATTTATTTAACACATGTTTTTGCGATAATCTACATGGTCATCTCTGCACTGTGAAAAATCACCAAAAAAAATATGATGATATTGTGAAATAAATATTCAGTTTTTGAAGGGTCCCAGCCAAAAGTTTGTAATAGTTTAAATTAATGGCTCTTCTTGGCCCTCTACGCCACTTGCATTACAATGCAGTATACTTATCGATTTTTTTTGGGAAGAATTAAGGTTTAAAGTGTCTGTCGTACATTTAAAATACAAAGTCGGTGTCCTATTTGCCATATATATTTGACTTGGGTCATTTACGCAGTCAACATGTTTAGCCGCTCAAGCTTGTCATTGTTGTACTATGAAAATTTTCAGGTTTTGTGTCTGTTTCTGTTGCTGGGTTTTACGTCCACGTCTTCAGTAAGTTTTTATCTTGCTTTTCTTTTTGCAAAAATAATTTTTTACAGCTTTTATTTCGTTTTCAATCTATATGCGTAGATTCAATTTACAAAATGGTTCTGTTCATTGCAGGAAAACACGGTGTACAAGGTCACCACGATTCTGGTAAGAAATTTCAATTTATATCATTTAGTATTTTTCAATCTTTTTTCTTCCTATTTATTGTTTACTACGGGACAATATCTCGTTGACGTGCAGTATATAGCGGTAGACTGAAATGCAAATGGATGTATGCTTAAATTGCACCATATATGTCCTCATTGCTTTTTTCCTTGTAACGTACCTTTTTTATCGGGACATGAGTGGATAACGTGTACCATAAAATTATTTACACTCGATGACAATATCTAAAAAACATTTAAATGAAGTCAAGGGATGAATGATCATGATTTAAAAGTTGACAAAGAACCGAAGCATGCAAACTGGAGAATTTTTAGAGAAGTCCGCAAATAATAAGATCTATATCATAAGTAAACGATTTATTATAAAGATACATGCATTTGTTATGCACTCCGATGAGAAACTAATATACTATTCGAACACCCAGTATCTTCAGTCTTTATTATGCTTCGATCAGATCCAACAAGGTTATTGCAAACTATATAGAAGGAAACACACAGTTTATGCGTGATCTATGCCCATGACTATTAATAGCATTCTACATGTGATTTCTCATATTACATTTGAAATTCACATAAATTAGTATGATCCTTCTTAATGGTTCTCGTGACTGTACACCAGAAAATATCTAAAATATTGAGATTTTGTTTCGTCAAATCTGCATTGTTTGTTCAAAGCATTTACTACAGGTAGTCGTCAAGATATATTTGTCTTCCCATTTTTAATAACCACCCATATACTGCCTGGCTTAAAAGCACTACTTTTAACCGTTATTTAAAAGACGGAGTATGTATCATTCCCCATTTCAAAAATACTTTAGTTGGTACAAGTGTGTACATATGTGCATGTATTCAGATATAAACTTTACTGTTATTAAGGTTGAGTAATAGTGTCTTAATAATTACAGCCATCCATGTACATAATTCATCAACAAGATGACTATAAGTCAGGACCTACTAAAGTTTATTTTTAAAGACAAAAATACTAACTTTCATTGTTGTTTTTTTTTTTTTTCAGGATAAACCTTTTGTAACACTAAAGGATGGAAACCCTTCAGAATTTGAAGGCCTCATACCCGATTTGTTGAAGAGGATAGAACCAATTCTTAATGCGACCTTTAACATAAAACATGTAGGAGATTTCAAGTACGGCTCTCAGAATAAGTATGGCAACTGGACTGGTATGATAGGAGAACTAATCAAGGGGGTAAGATTACATATAACATTGTCATACTTATATTTACTTGGTTGGTTCTTACTTCTACATATGTTTTTACAGCTGGAACACATCCATTTGCGGAGTAAGGCTGCAAAAAAACTTTAAATTTGGCCACTTTATTTCATTCCAACATCTACTGCCACTCGGGATCTTGTTTTTTAAGGTCTCCGCCTTCCCCAAGCAGTCATGGTTGTACCTGTAGATCAGGTTTTTGCTACAGGACACACCTATATGATTAGTACTTTACACAACTGTTTGAATGATTCCTAGCGCTTTGTTTGGTTGGCTCCAAATATTCCAGAAATTATCAAGTTATTTCATCTCGAACTACTAGGTCAAAATGACCATTGGTTATTGGTTGCTACAACAGTATAGGTCAAGAAATTCCCAAAAATTAAAGTAGTGTGATTAGTTTTGAATATTTTTGTCCTCCTCTGTCTTTCTCTGCGTTCGTCTAATAATACCTCAGCAGAAGTCACAACCAAAAAAGATGACTTGGTTTCGATTTTGCATACTTAATCATTTAATCATTTAGTTAAACAAATACGTGTACTCTTTCTTTTTTTGTCATTATGCTCAAAATACAACTTTTACCAAACAATTGATTACAAGCAAATTCAAAGAATTGTGGTGCCCCGCTTTCGGTGTCTTTGTGGATGAGATGTCTTTTTTTATGACATATTGTGTCAAATATGATCGCCTTATAAAATGCCATTTTAAAATTATCACTAAAGTTGTTTATTTTAATAAGGTCAATCGTGAAGGTCAAGGTCAAATGTCAGAAATCATAGCATCCTCGGAAATATCTTGTCACAAGTAATGCACATGTCAAATATGAAAGTCCTATCTTTTCTCAATATAAGGAGCAAGATGTGTTTGTTAAACACTGATGACCTGTATGGCAAGGAAGCGAAGATTAAACTTTTCTTAAATGCAAATTAAATATATTGTAACCCAAAGTAGGGTCTTCTCACAGGAAATACGATTTTGAAATATGAAATCCCTAACACCACCTGTTCAAAGGGTATGGCCAGGGATAATTCTTGAAATGTACATCAAACTCCAAGGTCAAAGGGTCAAAGTTGTTGGTTTATTAAGAAAGGTCATCTCACAAGTATTACATATGTGAAGTTTGAAAGCCCTAGCTCCAACCGTTCAAAAGTTATTACCAAGGTTAAAGTTTTTAAAGAGAAGGTTAAACTCCAAGGCCAAGGTCAAAGTTCTTGATATTTTTTTCAATTTTTAGGTCCTGTCACAAGGATTAAATATGTCAAGTATGAAAGCCCTAGCCCTTACCGTTCAAAAGTTATGGCCAAGGTTAAAGTTTTTTCATAAGTATGGAAATCTCCAAGGTCAAGGTCAAATGTTCAAATTTGTTTGTATTAAATAAAAGTTCTTGCCACAAAGGATATATATGTGAAAAATAATCTACTGTTCAAAAGTTATGGCCAAGGTCATAGTTTTTAAAATGTAGGTCAAACTCCAAGGTCAAGGTCAAAGGATTAGTGTTCTTGATATCCAATGTAAGATCCTGTCACAAGGATTACATATGTAAAGTATGAAAGCCCTAGCTCTAACCCTTGAATAGTTATGGTCAAGGTTTGTTTTTAAAAGATCAAACTCCAGGTCAAAGGTCAAAGTTCTTGGTACCCAATGAAAGGTCTGCTCACAAGGATTATATATGTGAAGTATGAAAGCCCTAGCCTTTACCGTTCAAAGATAACGTCCACGGTTAAAGTTTTTACATAAGTACGGAAATCTCCAAGGACAAGGTCAAAACGTCATAATTGTTGGTATCCATGAAAGGCCTTGACACAAATAATACATATGTAAAATATCTTTCAAAAATTATGGCTAAAGTAAAAGTTAGGAATTTTAGTGTAAGAGTGGATAAAACTCCGAGGTCAAAGGTCAAATTTGGTGGTACCCCAAAAAAGGTCTTGTCACAATGAATACACTTGTGAAATATAAAAGCCATAGCTTTTCTCAATCAAAAGTTATGGGCAAGGTTAAAATTTTTGTGACGGACGGACAGAAGAATGAGATTTAATGTCCCCTCGCTTTCGCGAAAGCGGAGGACAATTAGAGGTATTTCTCTGACAAGAGTTTGGAAATACTGTAAAAGTGCAAAGCAAAGAGGTTTAATTTTTCTCTGTAGGAAGCAGATATTGCTGCAGCGTCCCTTACCGTGACGGCAGAGCGAGCAGCCGCCATCGACTTCTCGCATCCCTTCATGGAATCAGGAATTTCCATTGTCCTTAAGCGACCCATTGCGAGGGGATGGCAGGCCATAACGGGATATGTCTCCTTTCTACAACCCTTCACAGCCGGAGTTTGGATCGCCTTGCTCTTCTCCTGTTTAATTGTTCCAATTCTATACGGCCTGATTATGCAGTAAGTAGAAGACGCAAATTTTACACCTAAAACATCAATGATCATTCTAAAGCTAGAAATGCATGCAACAGTGTTTTAATCTTGTCATGTGAGATTATTTCTATACGATCTGATTTGCTAGCTTTGACCCCATGGAAGATGAAGCCGAAACTTCTCTTCTGAAGAACATCGCCAGAGCGGTTCCGGTTGTCTTCTACAGATTCTGCTTACAAGGTTGAAGCCAGTGTAAACTATACCTCCAAACTAGCTATAGTGAAAAACACATTTTAGCGTTCTTCACTTGTACATATACATACATGTACTTTTCCATTTAGCACTTGATTCGTTTTGGCCAGTGAGTGAATAATTGTCACCTTCTCGATCTCTACCAGAGATTTCGAAAACATCAGCTTTAATTATTTCTGATCATCACATATTCGAGTATTATCTTAGAAAACAAACTTTAAATATTAGTTATTTGTCAATTAATTTAAAAATGTAGGTATTTTCAAATGGTTCAAATCCTTTGAATTATAAATGGCAACAATAAGGGACTTAACTGAGGCAAATGTTTATGCAAAAGTACCAAATTAAAATATTTAATTACGCATATATTGTAGGAAGTCTTGCGCCATCCAAGTCTACCTCCAGGTCTTCGAGAGTAATACTTGCCTTTTGGTCTTTGTTTCTTATCATTTTGTACGCCACCTGGGCATCAGCCTTTGCTGTATTCATTATGGAAGGGAAGAGACAACTTCCGGAGTCTCCCTTCCATTCATTTTCTGAGCTTTCGAAACAATCATCTGTGAAATTTGGAACAGTTAAAGGAGGGTCCACTTATAGATACTTTACAAAAGCTTTGGATAAGGTGGATAGCAAAATTGGAGAACATTTTAAAAACAATCCAGATCAAATGGTCGGTAGTACAGCAGAGGGAATTAAACGAGTTCGAAACAGCAATGGCGATTATGCATTTATCATGGAAGAGATAGGAGCTAGGCTATTAGCAGGAATGTCGCCGTGTGATCTAATGCTAATTCACCATTCTTTCATACGTAAATCTTTCTCTTTTGGATGTTCCAAAAACAACAGCATATGCAGAGATCTAGATATCGCCATCATTAGACTGAAAACTGATGGTGTGATACAAGAATTAACAGACAAGTGGCTGAATGAGGACAACGTTTGTGATACTGATTTCTATGACGATTATTTGCAGTACATTAGGTCTTTTGACAACAAGAAAGAGGAGTCGGGGTATCTTTTTAAGGGCAGTGCTCTGGGTATGGATAAAGTCGGAAGTGCGTATATTCTACTAGCCATAGGAATCATTCTTTCCGTTTGTTTGTTGGTCTTCGACATATGTATGGAGAGAAGAGTGCAGGTAAACTTTAATAATGCAGGTTTCTACACATGTAACACTACCATTTTATTGCGTAATTCGATTAATTCGGGTTAAAACATTGTTATGACATCATCTTTTGTTCTTTTAATACCTTCTTATCCTTGAAATAACAAAAACAATCCAATAAGTTACCTGTAACTGTCCAATAAGTTGGAAAAACTGTCCACTATTAAAAATAGTGGACACTTTTTTACAACTTATTAAACAGTTACAGGTAAGCACTAAGAAAAAATAACAACAAATCCAACACAAAAGATATACATGTTATTCATGAACAACGAATTACACACATTGTAATAATTATTCCAACTTTAGAATTTAAATTTGTAAAATACACTTCCAGACGAAATTTCAATTTCACTAGCACCAGCTGGTGCACACACATTAGAATCACTTTCGGCTGCGGTTTTGGCTTTCTTGATAGCTACATCACACTGATTTTCACCGTGAATGATTTTGCTCACTCTTTGCTGTTGTTCTTCAGTTGTTCTTTTATACGATCTAACAGATGTCGAGCGGTGTCCAGTTTTCTAAATTAGCTGCTCACCAATGCCAGCATCGTAAAGGCGTGTTGCGGCGGTTGCTCTGAGGCTATGGTTTGTGTAGTGGCCAGTAAATAGGCTATTTTACACAGTTTTGCGACGGTCTGTTGAAGAGTGTGTACTCCAACAAAGTCGGCGTACCAAGTGGAATCTGTGGGGTACCGCAGAGGTCGCAAATAGAGAGCATTGGTTTTACCAGCTTCAGGCCTTTAAAAGAAAATTGCATATTATAGATTAAAGTGTTTTAAATTAAGATATATATTACAGCAATATTTTGGTGGAAATTAACAACAATATACTTGCCTTAAATGCAGATATTTTTCATACGTGAGCACAGGACATCTCTCGGGAACATTCTTGTTCTGGTATGCTCTGGTAACTTTAGGATGCAGATTTTTGTGCTGGAGCCCACCGCGATTTGTTTTGGAGACATCCTCTCTATATTCGAGATATCGCAGTTTTAGATGCAATCCATGGAAAGAGAAATTGACTGTTTGTCCCAACCCTCAAGTTTCTGTGTTCCTGTCCTGCTCGTAGTGCAAAATGTAGTCCAAGTTGAAACAGTAGAGTATCTAAGAGTTTTTGAGGTGTATCTCTTCCTAAAACTCCCTTGGACCACATTTCATCTTCTTGAGCCTCAGTTATGATCTCTGCCCGTTTCTGCTCTATCCCCATGCCTCGCCCAGAGAGTTCTTTCATCTTTGAATCAAGAATACTGCGCATATCGTGAAATTTATCATCATCCAAAAAGTTTATGAATCTACCTTCATGTCGTAATTTGTGTTGAATTGCACACACAATTTCATACAAGCTATTGGGTCTGTAATCCTCTCCAAATTTATTCCTCACTTCAGCTACAAAGAAACTCATTGTTTTGTTGATTTCCTCATCACTCATTATCATAATATCCTGGTACATAAATGTATCATGGTTTGGTAACATACACTTTCGTTCATTTTGCCAGTTCGTAAATAGAGTCATTGCCCACTTTGACTTTTGCTCTGTTTTCTTCGATAAACCTTTCTTAACCAAATTATCCAAATCTTCTTGATTGAGCCGTGCAAACCTTTCAATATTTTCTTTTCCTTCTATGTCTTGGGTGGCCTTTACAAGTTCCTCGTCAGAAATATCCGAAAAAATATCTACTTTGAGGTCAAAATTCGGTTGTTTTTTTGGATGTTCTCTTTCCAAATCCAAAATATCACTGAGAATGCCATCCGTGTTGTTTTCTTGTTCATCAACTTCTCTAAACTTGTTTTGTGTTAAAAACACGCTTTCTCCATCTGAAGAGGACATCCTAACCGCAGGGACATTTACTAAGAAGTGGTGTTCGATGTGCATGCTTTTTATACAAAACCAAGGAACTCATCTGTAACTGTCCACTAAGTTAACAATTGAAGTGAATCCTATTCACAGTATTTAAATCAACAAATTTACCTGAGACAGTCTACTAAGAAGACAATGCCAAATTTAATACAAAGGATGTTTACTTCATTGACGTTGCAAGAGAGAAACTTTTCTAAGAGAGTCCATTCTGAACACAATGGAATGAAATGTTTTAAGTAGGTTACAAGCCTCAAACTGTCCATTCTGTGAGAAAAAAGAACTATTGTCGGGCCTAACGGCCCTCCAATAGTTCTTTCTTCTCACAGAATGGACAGTTTTCGGCATGTAACCTTTACTTAAAATTTATTTTAAACATGGAAGGCAATGGTTTTTAAAGCCATACAACTGTTCCTTTTGCTAAAAAAGGTGTATCACAATCATGGTTATATTCTTCCTATATTTTTTAGAGACCACAATAACATATTTTTAAAAAATCACGTGGTCACATGTAACATTGACACGTTCTTGATGTGTTTGTTCTTATTTTACAGAAGGCAGTGTCTAGAAGAGGAGGGACTGACAAACAGCCATTTGAAGCCATTACAGACGACATGCAATAATTCTTACCAGCCATAATAACCCGCGCTACACAGTAACCGCTGATCACAAATTACTGAATTATAACAATGAACTGGTGGAGCAATTGCATGTAGTATTATTTTCAAAATAAAACCGCCCTGCTTGTGCCATGTAGTCTAGATGTATAATACAACCAGCAATTTAATTTTTTTTTTACAAAGGACTGCATAATTGTTATAAAAGTTTATAAATGAGATTGAAGTACAACTTGCATTTTAAAGATAGTAGGTAGGTAGATTTTCCCATCTTCTTCGTACTGAATGAATTGACACAATGCCATTCTACGCATGCACGAAATCTTTTTTGCGTATGCTGTACTTTACCGAATCTGTTATTTTAATTGTAGCATAATCCTTTTATTCACATGTGGACTTGTTTGCCCCATTTTAAAGAAACATTAAAGTAAAGGCACTTATTTTGCCTTTTGCCAGCAGGCTAAAGTCATTTACGGAAGGTCGAATGTGTAGTATATAGAAAAAAGTATCTATAATTGATGTTTTTGAATGCCCAAAGAAAGTTGTAATTACATACACTGTCATTTTTTGAAAGATCTCAAAGCTTTCAAGATTGTGAAATTCATTTATGTGTAATCGATTGATATAAAAGATATGCATGTCTTAGTCAAACCGATAAATGACACCCTGCATGCTGTAGTTAGGATTGTGTGTACATGATAAGTTAGTCTTTGAAGGGTTTTGAATTCAGGTGTATACTTAACACTCATCTAATTTAGATTAGTCCCCCTCCCCTGCATTAATCACTAACAACAATTAAAGGAAGAGAAAAAAACTGGAGCAGATAAAGATCAAATTTTGAACAGGTTGCATTTAAAGGCCTTGACACGGATTACCAGCTTGTCTGAAGGTCGTCATGAACAACAAAAAAGTTTTTCTTCAAAATACCTTCTTTTCAAGAGAAATCTTCAAAACGCCTTGTTTTCAACAGAAAAAAGATCCCCATTATCGATTTTTAGAGCACAGCAAGGTTGATAATTCTCTTATTGTTACCTGACCAGCTGCCTTGTTTGTACTATTTAGTGATATCTACCTATTTCTAATGCATGCTGAGTATCGTTTTATTAAAATTTTTGTATATTTTCTGTGTTCCTTTGTTTATGATACATGTACAAATATCGCCATACACACATACATGTATTTTTGTATTATGAAGAATGATTTTTATGCCCCCGTAATGATAGATCGGGGATGGGGTGGGGGGTATAATTATAGATTTTGCCCTGTTTCTATCTTTTTGTCTACAAAAACCTTAAGGAAGCTCTAAACACTGCACACTAAAGAGCTCTACTTAAAGGGTAGTTTTATGCAGTTAGAGTGATCTGCCCTTAGATGTATGATTATAAAAAACGTTATTTACAGTTAATTACATGATTTGTAACAGATTAAAATATTTTTAGCATTATATAAGACTAAGAATAAGAAATTTAATCAACTAATTTTATAAATTTTCTGAAGGTATGTTAACAACAGTGACTTTTGCTCACAAATAGTCCATTGTCTTTGGACATTATTCCTGCGGAAATAAAGCACACCCTATGTTCTAAATGGATGAAAAAGTCTCAATATGCACATCTTTATATGATACATTTTTTGTCAGTGTTTAGAGCTTCCTTAATCTTGCCCATTGCTTTTCATTGCTTGAAGACATGACTGTAATATTTCACATGTCTATTCCTTGTGGCAATACCTTTCTTTGAGTATGAATATATTTGATAATTTTGAGCTATCTATATGTCCTTCTACATGTATGCAAGCAGATTGTACGTTTTGTTACGTTTAGAGAATGGTTCTATTATTATACCGTATAGGGCCATTCTATAAACGTGAAAAACCGTGCAATCTTTTTTTTTTATATATATTTTTGAGACATTTTACGATCTTACAATTTTTTTAATTAAAAAAAGGGGTAATCGTTCTAAACTTCAGGCGCCTGTGGTTAATCTTTGTTTTAACTTTTTGAACAATTAAAACTATGGCTTTCATATTTCACATGTGTATTCCTTGTGATAAGACCTTTCTTTGACCAACAGTTTTGACCATTTTACCCTTTCTTGGAGATTGACCTATTTTTTAAAAATCTAAAAATTATTCTTTGCCAATGCTTTAAATCCTGCTTCGTGGGAATATGAGTCGACTAGAAGAAGAACACAATTAGTGTCCACTAGTTTTCCAACATTTTATTCTCTCGAAATCGAAAAGTCTGGATTATATAGTTTTTTGCAATGTCCGTCCGTCTGTCTGTCCGCAAAAACATTAACATTGCTAATAACATTTTGACTGATTGAAGCTATGGCTTTAATATTTTACTTGTGCAATTATTGTGACGAAGCCTTTCTTTGGGTGCCAGCATATTCGACCTTTTAACCTTGGATTTTGACCCACTTTTGCTAGAATTTACCCAACATTAACCTTGCCAGTAAGTTTTGAACGATTGGTGCTAGGGTTTTCATACATCACAAGTTTATTCATTATGACAAGACCTTTCATGGATATAGATATATAAATATTTTTAATCTTGAACTTTGATTTTGACCTACTTTGAAAAAAAAAATCTTTCACCTTAGTCATAACCTATGAACAGTAAGTTTTTGTGATAAGGGCTTCCTTTAGATACCAACAATATTGATTTGCAGAACAAAAAATTTTGAATGGTTAGTGCTTAGGCTTTCATGTTACAAACACGCCTTGTTTTTTAGCTTACCTGAGCCGAAGGCTCAAGTGAGCTTTTCTGATCACATTTTGTCCGTTCGTCCGTCCGCCTGTCCGTTCGTAAACTTTTCACATTTTTGACTTCTTCTCAAGAACCACTGGGCCAATTTTGACCAAACATGATACAAAGCATCCTTGGGTGAAGGAGAATTTAAATTCTTAAAATAAAGGACCAAGTCCCCTCACAAGGGGAGATAATCAAGAAAAGACAAAAATAGGGTGGGGTCATTAAAAAATCTTCTTCTCAAGAACAACTGGGCCAGAAAAGCTGAAACTTATGTGGAAGCATCCTGGGGTAGTGTAGATTCTAAATTATTCAAATCATGACCCCCGGGGGAAGGGCGGGGCACTATGGGGAATCTAAGTTTTACAGAGAAATATATAGAAAAAATCTTTGAAAATCTTCTTCTCAAGAACCACTGGACCAGAAAAGCTGAAACTTATATGGAAACACACTGGTATAGTGTAGATTCTAAATTGTTCAAATCATGACGACCGGGGAAAGGGCGGGGCCACAATGGGGAATCAAAGTTTTACAGAGAAACATATAGGAAAAATCTTTGAAAATCTTCTTCTCAAGAACCACTGGAACAGAAAAGCTGAAACTTATGTGGAAGCATCCTGGGGTAGTGTAGGTTCTAAACTGTAAAAAAATCATGACCCCCGGGGAAAGGGCGGGGCCACAATGGGGAATCAAAGTTTTACAGAGAAACATATAGGAAAAATCTTTGAAAATCTTCTTCTCAAGAACCACTGGGCCAGAAAAGCTGAAACTTATGTGGAAGCATCCTGGTATAGTGTAGATTCTAAATTGTTCAAATCATGACCCCCGGGGAAGGGCGGGGCCACAATGGGGAATCAAAGTTTAACATAGAAATATATAGAAAAAATCTTTGAAAATCTTCTTCTCAAGAACCACTGGGCCAGAAAAGCTGAAACTTATGTGGAAGCATCCTGGAGTAGTGTAGATTCTAAATTGTTCAAATCATGACCCCCCGGGGGAAGGGCGGGGCCACAAGGGGGAATCAAAGTTTTACATAGAAACATGTATATAGGGAAAATCTTTGAAAATCTTCTTCTCAAGAACCTCTGGGCCAAAAAAGCTGAAATTTATGTGCACATGGAAGAATCCTGGGGTAGTGTAGATTTCAAAATGTCTAAATTATGATCAGTGGGGTAGGGTGGGGATGCATTATGTATTACAAGGGAGAAATCTGGTAAAGAACAGAATGGTCTAAGCTTCTCAGGTGAGCGACGTGGCCCATGGGCCTCTTGTTTCTTTTAAAAATTAAAATTGATTTATTATCTCCATGACATAAATACATGTACGTCACCTGTGCAAATAATATGCTTTTATTTATTTTAAGGCCACCAGAATTGTATTTAAAGATGAAATGCCATAACTGGGTCTGGGGCCCCTTTTTCTAAGCTATGATAAATTTACAAAAATTTTAATTATTTTAAAACAAGATTTATAGAAAAAGACGCCTTCTGAATTCGTGTTATAAATAATTTTGAAAAAAAAATTGCATTATCTGGGTATTTTTAGACCCTATGGTAGCAAACTTTGACTTGGTTGTGACCGCATGTTCTTAATTAAGAAGTCTAAGGATTAGAATAGGTAGTGCATGCAATAAAGGAATATGCATGTCCGATGAATCTATCTTATACCGTATGACTTTTGTTATTATTTTGCACATATATAGTCGCTTACTTGCAGAGATCAAATGCCCAATCCGATGAAATATGCTTGACAAAACATGCTAGTCGCCCGCGAGGGGTAGTGGTAAGGGTGTCTGCTCTAGAGTTGCGAAGTAAGGAGTTGATCTTTACGTCTCGGGTTCAAATCCCACTGTGGGACGTGGCGACCAGTCCTTCGGATGAGACCTATAAACTGAGGTCCCATGTCGCATCAGGTGATGGGACAAAAAAGATCCCTCTTTGCTATGGACCGAGCATATAGGTCAAAATTTGCAGCTCTCCAGTGGCAAGTGGTGGAGTGTCTATATGAGTGAAAAATTCTCGAGAGTGCCGTAAAACAACAAACAAAACAAAACATACTGGTTTACTTGATATGTTTACATATATACTTTATCACAGACACGTGGTTTAGGTTAATTTACAACTTCTTTATGCAATTAAAATTTGAATTGGTCAACAAAGGCATAACTACTATGCGCATGGAACCTCAGTGTCTATCGTTTGAGACCAATCAATGCACATGATTGTATTCAATATTACTCGGGAAAGCATGTATAGTCAACTGTCCACCAATCGCCTTGCAAAACTATGAAAAAAAAAATATATGTATACATTGCATATATACAATATATGTTTAAATGTCAGTTTTTTGTAATTGTGAGGATAGAAATTGTAGAACGTATTTTAATAGATCTGTGATTGAATTGCATATAAAATTGACTTCAAATTTTTCAAAATTCAAGTAAACGAATGCTTTTTCTCAAGCACTAAATTTCCTGGTACTTTTTAAGCGGTTAGCTTCGCTAACCGCTTTATGGCATGTGTCCGATTTTTATCGACACCGGAAACTTCCAGAAGGCGCTACCTATCGACAACAGAAACTTCAACAAAGCCTCTACCTAGTACCTATGATTTGTTTCTAACACATATATAACATATGTTAAATAAAATCAAGACTATCAAAACAACATAATATTTCGGTTTTTTAATTTTTTTTCTGATTTTGTTTGTCAATGAAATAAATTTATAATTGTTGTATTAAAAAAAGATTATGTATAGGAGCATTTGGTGTCGAGATTAAATTTCCGTGACATCAGCTGATGGCGATCGGGCCCTGTGACGAAATTCGAAGTCAGCATGAAGTTTAGCTGATAACATTATCAACGCGTTAGATTTAAACTTTAGAAAGAAATGTATAGCGAGAAATATCATATTTGAACCCAATGCTACACGAAAACCAGTAGGCATATCCGATTTATGTGTTAAATTGAAGCCTGAATCGAACAGGGGGTCAAAATGGCGTTGGACATCTTGTGTATTTATATATAGAGGGGGTAGAATGTTTCGATATTTGGCTAATCTAGAGACTTACTGAAAAAAATTCAGGTGCCTGTGATTAATTATAAGGCCCCCCTCATGAACAATAAATATTTGACCGAATTATGCTACTGGGCACAGGGAGGACGGGTTAATTACTGGCTAAAGGGGTTGAAGGTTATTAGCGACTGCAAAACATCGGAGAATCTCTCGATCGAGTTTCATTTTCCAAAATATTAAGGCATCCCTTTAATCAACTTAAGTAATACTAGTACACGAAGAAAGCCTTTATATAAAAATACTGAATACATCTGTAAGTTGTACAGTTATGGATTACTTCCATAATGAAACGTTTGTTTTCTTCTCCTTTTTTTCTCAATTGAAATTATTTAAAAGATGATAAAAGCTTTGTTTCCAGGGATAAAATCTGTACTGAGTCTAATTATTACAAACGATTTTAAACGATCACATTTTTATTTAAAAAAAAAATAATGGGAGCCTGAAAATACTAAAATTAATTTTTAAAAAATGGAGAAAAAATTGCATTCGATCCTTTTCTAAAAATCAGCCGATATAAAATATGCACAGAAAAAAGAGGCATGAAAAATCTTGACGATAAGCACAAATTGAAAATTATATCTAATGAATGATTATTTTTGAAAGTTTGCTAAATTCCTATGCAAGGTATAAGTTGTAAAAATACTTTCTAAATTTGAATTTGTCCAATTTGTTAATTATCATTTTGAGCCTTTGAGAAGAAATAAAAATTAAAATACAGATGCTTACAGACATATTGATAGAAATTCGCATACTTGTTTTTTGTAAAAAAAAAACCAAACAAACAAAAAACAAACAAAAAACAAACAAACAATGTATTGCTTATGCGACATATTGAAGAAAGTGACAATGATACCTAGGTAATTCTTGCAATGGACAATTAAATTGTTTGTTATACACTGACTTTTAGTGAACCTTTGAATTTTTAAAATACTAGTATTGATGGATTAAACAACAACTTTCCTTTTCACACCTTACTTGTCTTTCTTCCTTGGAGAGAAATAGTTCATAATATTGTCCTCTACAAAAATTTGAATTTTTCAATTAAAATTTGTATATGACAATTATTAGCACATCTTTAATGATTACACCAACCCGATCGACACTCGGGCCGTGCTAGAATAAGACCCAACTAGGAAACGTGAACGGCTTATTGCTCGCTTGAAGAACTTCTGTTTGAGTTCCCTGACGATCCTGCCCGAAGATTCTGTCAGCTTCCCTGACGTTTCTACCCAAGGATTCTGTCAGCCACGATTTGCGTTCCTTTCTAGCTTTGAGTCTTATTAAACAGATTCAAGACAAACTCCGACCAGCGTTTTAACTTTTAATATGGAACTGACAAATTTTGATACAGGTCGGTGTGCTCGGGACGGCTGTCCGATTCCGACTGATTATACAAATCAAATTCAACAGTATATATAACAATTAGAATGTGACATTTGTAAAGATGACATTTGGAGATAAATAGATAAAAGTTTTGACACTTGAGTAAAATCTCAAAATAATTGAGGGCCGGATTATCGCCCTTTTGATGTTAATTTGCCTAAAGATAATTTAGGAGTGTTGGTAAAATGGGTAGGCAAACCCGGGCCGGGGCAAATTAAAAGCCGGGGCAGATCGAGATTTTTCAAATTTCTGTCTTCATACTTTATCGATCGAGCTGAATTTTTCAGAATGTATTCAATACATGATTATTTATATTCGCTGCTAAAATTGCCATGAAATACTTAATATTGTAGATTTTATCGGCGATTATTGATTTTCAAGTTGGTAAAATGGGTAGGCAGTTTCCCAAGTTCACAATTTGCGTTTTCAGACATATGTTACATAAAGTCCACAAATTTATGGATAATTCTGGTGTTTAGGAATACATTTTAACCATTAATTATTATTTCTTCATTGGTTATTGTAATATTTACGTAAAATTGCATGTTTTAGGAAAAACCGGGTCATTAAAACTGGATCCGATCACCCGGGATAAACCTGAAAATTCCGGAATAATTGTACAGGTGACCTATTTTTACTGGAGAATGTTTGTCATCTTAAAAAAAAACGTCAAATCGATTTGTTGGAAGCTTGTGTTTAATTATTCAAATAAAACTAATTTATTTGATAAATTTGCACTATAATTTAGCAATATCAAACGATGACAGGTGTTGAAAACCAATTAGCTTGGATTACCTAAAATCTCCGGTAATATAATTCAATAAAGATCAAGAGACGTAAATTAAACAAAGAAAATAATTTGAAAAGCTCAAAAATTTAGAAAGAATTGTTTTAAAAACATGAAACATAAGCTTAATTTCAGAAACTAGAAAAATCTTTTAGAACAATAAAATTTCATCGTGATAATATTGATAAACAGATGTACTCAGTATCTGTATCAAAATACAGAATGAACAGTGATCGGTCTCAAAAGAAAAACGGATCCTTGAAAGTTCCGGTGCCTAGGAGAAGTAAGCATCCCCAATGACAGGTCACACCTGCTGACCCGCAGTGAGCCTACGAAACTGAAGCTCTCTGAAATTAATTAATTCTCTGCTCGTCCATCCGTTTTTCTCAGACTAGCCAGCTAAAGATCTATGTACAGTACTCCAAATCAATTAATCTAAAGAATTTGAATTATCATTTTATTTTCTTTTTGAGTTGTTTGCTATAGTAGCCTTTACAGTTACCTAATTACAGAATCAATAGAGCATGAAAGCCAATTAAATTTGCAACATCAACATAATTTTTTTTTCGTTTTGAGCACTTTTGGACGCCACCAATGGAGACAATTAGGGAGAAATTTTTGAAATTGAACTTCCTGTCTTTCAAACTGAAAATCTCAGGTTGATATTTTGAAACAAACATTTGTGACATCAGTCTGGGATGTTATTGGTTATACCATTTAGTTAAGTACTAGAAAATTCATTGTGTCTGCTTCTTCGCTGATGACACTGGAAAAAGATTTGCATGCCTACTTTAATATCATCATTCAATGCATTTTTTGTTATTGTACACTGTACATATTCGATGAAAGCATGCTAACCGCTTTTCAGTACTTTCAGTACTTTGATTATTTATTTAACACATGTTTTGTCTTATCTACACCTCATCTCTGCACTGTGACATCTTAGCAGAAAATATGATGATATTGTGTAATAAATATTCAGTTTTTATTCTCCCAGCCAAAAGTTTTTAATAGTTTAAATTAATGGCTTTTCTTGTCCCTCTACACCACCTGCATTACAATGCAGTACACTTATCGATTTTTTTTTAAGAATTAAGGTTTAAAGTGTCTGTCGTACATTTAAAATACAAAGTCAGTGTCCTATTTGCCATGTAGAGGGTGCAGTCACTGTTTAAGGTCCGCTCAAGCTTTGTCATTGTTGTACTATGAAGATCCAGGTTTTGTGTCTGTTTCTGTTGCTGGGTTTTACGTCCACGTCTTCAGTAAGTTTTTATCTTGCTTTTCTTTTTGCAAAAATAATATTTTACAGCTTTTATTTCGTTTTCAATCTATATGCGTAGATTCAAATTTACAAAATGGTTCTGTTTATTGCAGGAAAACACGGTGTACAAGGTCACCACGATTCTAGTAAGTAATTTCAATTATATTGTATAAGTACTTTGAATCTCTGTTCCTCCCATTTATTGTTTACTACAAATACCTCATGCAGACGTGCAGTATATAGCGGTAGACTGAAATGCAAATGGATGCATGCTTAAATTGCACCATGTCCTCAGCGCTTTTCCTTGTAACGTACCTTTTTAGTCGGGACATGAGTGGATAACGTGTACCATAAAATTATTTACACTCGATGACAATATCTAAAAAACATTTAAATGAAGTCATGGGATGAATGATCATGATTTAAAGGTTGACAAAGAACCGAAGCATGCAAACTGGAGAATTCAGTATAGAGAAGTCCGCAAATAATAAGATCTCTATCGTAAGTAAACGATTTATCATAAAAATATATGCATTTGTTATGCACTGCAATGAGAAATTATTAAATATACTATTCGAACACCCAGTATCTTCAGTCTTTATTATGCTTGATCAGATCCAACAAGGTTATTGCAAACTATATAGAAAGAAACGCACAGTTAACACGTGATCTATGCCCATAACTATTAATAGCATTATACACGTGATATCTCAGGTTACATTGGATATTCACATAAATTAGTACGATCCTTCTTAATAGTTCTCGTGACTGTACACCATAAAATATCTAAAATATTGAGATTTTGTTTCGTCAAATCTGCATTGTTTGCACAAAGCATTCACTAGTCTACAGGTGGTCGTCAAGACCTATTTGTCTTCCCATTTTTAATAACCACTCATGCCTGGCTTAAATGTGCACTACTAGTAACCGGAAGAAAAAAACGGGACTGTATACTTTCTTTTCATACCTACTTTAGTTGGTACAAGTGTGTGCATGTATTCAGATATAAACTTTACTGTTATTAAGGTTGAGTAGTAGTGTCTTAATAATTACAGCCTACCATGTACATAATTCATCAACAAGATAAGATGACAATAAGCCAGGACCTACTAAAGTTTATTTTTAAAGACATCACAAAAATACTAGCTTTCATTGGTTTTTTTTTTCTATTTTTAGGATAAACCTTTTGTAACTCTAAAGGATGGAGACCCTTCAGAATTTGAAGGCCTCATACCCGATTTGTTGAAGAGGATAGAACCAATTCTTAATGCGACCTTTAACATAAAACATGTAGGAGATTTCAAGTACGGCTCTCAGGATAAGTATGGCAACTGGACTGGTATGATAGGAGAACTAATCAAGGGGGTAAGATTACATTTAACATACTTAAATTTGCTTGATTGGTTGCGTTTCTTCACGGACATGTTTCTCAAGCAGGAACACAACCATTTGCAGATGTGAGGCTGCTAAAACCCTGAACTTAATTACTCTCTTTTTTTAATGCCAACATATAGAGTCACTGGGGATCTCGATTTATACAATATCTGCCTTCCCCCAGCAGATGGGTCTGAACCTGCAGGTCAGGACCTTTTACAGGACACATCTATATGATTAGTACTTAACTGTTTGAATGATTCCCATCACTGGTTGGCTTAAAAACTTTAAGAAATTATCAAGTTATTTGAACCCGACCTTCTTGGTCAAAAATGACCATTGGTTATAAGTTGCAACAACAGTATAGATCAGGAACTTCCAAAGTAGTGCAATTGTTTTTGTATATTTCTGTCGTCCTCTGTCTCTCTGTGTTTGACAAAGCCTCAGCAGATGTAAACAACCAAGAGAGATTACGTGGTTTCGATTTTGCATACTTCATCATTGAATCATAACATAAAATAATTACTCTTTTTGTCAATATGTTCAAAATACAACTTTTACCACAGAATTTAATTGTATAAGATACTTAGATATTTTTCTGAGAATAGTTGGGAAATAAAAGTGAGAAGCAAAAAGGATTAATTTTTCTTTGTAGAAAGCAGACATTGCTGCAGCGTCCCTTACCGTGACGGCAGAGAGAGCAACCGTCATCGACCTCTCGCATCCCTTCATGGAATCAGGAATTTCCATTGTCCTTAAGCGACCCGTTGCGAGGGGATGGCAAGCCATAACGGGATATGTTTCCTTTCTGCAGCCCTTTACAGCCGGGGTTTGGATCGCCTTGCTCTTCTCCTGTGTAATTATTCCAATTCTATACGGCCTGATTATGCAGTAAGTACAAGACGCAAATTTTACACATAAAAACAACAATAATAATTCTAACTAGAAATACATGCAACAGTGTTTTAATCTTGTCACGTGTGATTATTTCTATACGATTTGTTTTGCCAGCTTTGATCCCATGGAAGATGAAGCCGAAACTTCTATTCTGAAGAACATCGCCAGAGCGGTTCCGGTTGTCTTCTACAGATTCTGCTTACAAGGTTGAAGTTGGTGTAAAGTATACCTCCAAACTAGTTATATTGAAAAACACGTTAGCGTTCTTCACCTGTACATATACATACATGTACTTTTCTATTTAGCACTTGATTCGTTTTGGACAGTCAGTGAATAATTGTCACCTTCTCCCTACCAAAAATTTCGAAAACATCAGCTTTAATTATTTCTGATCATCACATATTCGAGTATTATCCTTGAAAACAAACTTAAATATTAGTTATTTGTCAATTAATTTAAAAATGTAGGTATTTTCAAATGGTTCAAATCCTTTAAATTATAAATGGCAACAATAAGGGACTTAACTGATGCAAATGTTTATGCAAAGGTACCAAATTAAAATATTTAATTACGCATACATTGTAGGAAGTCTTGCGCCATCCAAATCTACCTCCAGGTCTTCGAGAGTGATACTTGCCTTTTGGTCTTTGTTTCTTATCATTTTGTACGCCACCTGGGCATCAGCCTTTGCTGTATTCATCATGGAAGGGAAGAGACAACTTCCGGAGTCTCCCTTCCATTCATTTTCTGAGCTTTCGAAACAATCATCTGTGAAATTTGGAACAGTGAAAGGAGGGTCCACTTATAGATACTTCACAAAGGCTTTGGATAAGGTGGATAGCAAAATTGGAGAACATTTTAAAAACAATCCAGATCAAATGGTCGGTAGTACAGCAGAGGGAATTAAACGAGTTCGAAACAGCAATGGCGATTATGCATTTATCATGGAAGAGATAGGAGCTAGGCAATTAGCAGGAATGTCGCCGTGTGATCTAATGCTAATTCACCATTCTTTCATTCGTAAATCTTTCTCTTTTGGATGTGCCAAAAACAACAGCATATGCAGAGATCTAGATATCGCCATCATTAGACTGAAAACTGATGGTGTGATACAAGAATTAACAGATAAGTGGCTGAATAAGGACAACGTTTGTGATACTGATTTCTATGACGATTATTTGCAGTACATTAGGTCTTTTGACAACAAGAAAGAGGAGTCGGGGTATCTTTTTAAGGGCAGTGCTCTGGGTATGGATAAAGTCGGAAGTGCGTATATTCTACTAGCCATAGGAATCATTCTTTCCGTTTGTTTGTTGGTCTTCGACATATGTATGGAGAGAAGAGTGCAGGTAAACTTTAATAATGCAGGTTTCTACACATGTAACACTACCATTTTATTGCGTAATTCGATTAATTCGGGTTAAAACATTGTTATGACATCATCTTTTGTTCTTTTAATACCTTCTTATCCTTGAAATAACAAAAACAATCCAATAAGTTACCTGTAACTGTCCAATAAGTTGGAAAAACTGTCCACTATTAAAAATAGTGGACACTTTTTTACAACTTATTGGACAGTTACAGGTAAGCACTAAGAAAAAATAACAACAAATCCAACACAAAAGATATACATGTTATTCATGAACAACGAATTACACACATTGTAATAATTATTCCAACTTTAGAATTTAAATTTGTAAAATACACTTCCAGACGAAATTTCAATTTCACTAGCACCAGCTGGTGCACACACATTAGAATCACTTTCGGCTGCGGTTTTGGCTTTCTTGATAGCTACATCACACTGATTTTCACCGTGAATGATTTTGCTCACTCTTTGCTGTTGTTCTTCATTTGTTCTTTTATACGATCTAACAGATGTCGAGCGGTGTCCAGTTTTCTCGGTTATTAGCTGCTCACCAATGCCAGCATCGTAAAGGCGTGTTGCGGCGGTTGCTCTGAGGCTATGGTTTGTGTAGTGGCCAGTAAATCCTGCTATTTTACACAGTTTTGCGACGGTCTGTTGAAGAGTGTGTACTCCAACAGGGGAGTCGGCGTACCAAGTGGAATCTGTGGGGTACCGCAGAGGTCGCAAATAGAGAGCATTGGTTTTACCAGCTTCAGGCCTTTAAAAGAAAATTGCATATTATAGATTAAAGTGTTTTAAATTAAGATATATCTTACAGCAATATTTTGGTGGAAATTAACAACAATATACTTGCCTTAAATGCAGATATTTTTCATACGTGAGCACAGGACATCTCTCGGGAACATTCTTGTTCTGGTATGCTCTGGTAACTTTAGGTTGCAGATTTTTGTGCTGGAGCCCACCGCGATTTGTTTTGGAGACATCCTCTCTATATTCGAGATATCGCAGTCCAGATGCATCCATGGAAAGAGAAATCTGACTGTTTGTCCCAACCCTCAAGTTTCTGTGTTCCTGTCCTGCTCGTAGTGCAAAATGTAGTCCAAGTTGAAACAGTAGAGTATCTAAGAGTTTTTGAGGTGTATCTCTTCCTAAAACTCCCTTGGACCACATTTCATCTTCTTGAGCCTCAGTTATGATCTCTGCCCGTTTCTGCTCTATCCCCATGCCTCGCCCAGAGAGTTCTTTCATCTTTGAATCAAGAATACTGCGCATATCGTGAAATTTATCATCATCCAAAAAGTTTATGAATCTACCTTCATGTCGTAATTTGTGTTGAATTGCACACACAATTTCATACAAGCTATTGGGTCTGTAATCCTCTCCAGATTTATTCCTCACTTCAGCTACAAAGAAACTCATTGTTTTGTTGATTTCCTCATCACTCATTATCATAATATCCTGGTACATAAATGTATCATGGTTTGGTAACATACACTTTCGTTCATTTTGCCAGTTCGTAAATAGAGTCATTGCCCACTTTGACTTTTGCTCTGTTTTCTTCGATAAACCTTTCTTAACCAAATTATCCAAATCTTCTTGATTGAGCCGTGCAAACCTTTCAATATTTTCTTTTCCTTCTATGTCTTGGGTGGCCTTTACAAGTTCCTCGTCAGAAATATCCGAAAAAATATCTACTTTGAGGTCAAAATTCGGTTGTTTTTTTGGATGTTCTCTTTCCAAATCCAAAATATCACTGAGAATGCCATCCGTGTTGTTTTCTTGTTCATCAACTTCTCTAAACTTGTTTTGTGTTAAAAACACGCTTTCTCCATCTGAAGAGGACATCCTAACCGCAGGGACATTTACTAAGAAGTGGTGTTCGATGTGCATGCTTTTTATACAAAACCAAGGAACTCACCTGTAACTGTCCACTAAGTTAACAATTGAAGTGAATCCTATTCACAGTATTTAAATCAACAAATTTACCTGAGACAGTCTACTAAGAAGACAATGCCAAATTTAATACAAAGGATGTTTACTTCATTGACGTTGCAAGAGAGAAACTTTTCTAAGAGAGTCCATTCTGAACACAATGGAATGAAATGTTTTAAGTAGGTTACAAGCCTCAAACTGTCCATTCTGTGAGAAAAAAGAACTATTGTCGGGCCTAACGGCCCTCCAATAGTTCTTTCTTCTCACAGAATGGACAGTTTTCGGCATGTAACCTTTACTTAAAATTTATTTTAAACATGGAAGGCAATGGTTTTTAAAGCCATACAACTGTTCCTTTTGCTAAAAAAGGTGTATCACAATCATGGTTATATTCTTCCTATATTTTTTAGAGACCACAATAACATATTTTTAAAAAATCACGTGGTCACATGTAACATTGACACGTTCTTGATGTGTTTGTTCTTATTTTACAGAAGGCAGTGTCTAGAAGAGGAGGGACTGACAAACAGCCATTTGAAGCCATTACAGACGACATGCAATAATTCTTACCAGCCATAATAACCCGCGCTACACAGTAACCGCTGATCACAAATTACTGAATTATAACAATGAACTGGTGGAGCAATTGCATGTAGTATTATTTTCAAAATAAAACCGCCCTGCTTGTGCCATGTAGTCTAGATGTATAATACAACCAGCAATTTAATTTTTTTTTTACAAAGGACTGCATAATTGTTATAAAAGTTTATAAATGAGATTGAAGTACAACTTGCATTTTAAAGATAGTAGGTAGGTAGATTTTCCCATCTTCTTCGTACTGAATGAATTGACACAATGCCATTCTACGCATGCACGAAATCTTTTTTGCGTATGCTGTACTTTACCGAATCTGTTATTTTAATTGTAGCATAATCCTTTTATTCACATGTGGACTTGTTTGCCCCATTTTAAAGAAACATTAAAGTAAAGGCACTTATTTTGCCTTTTGCCAGTCAGGCTAAAGTCATTTACGGAAGGTCGAATGTGTAGTATATAGAAAAAAGTATCTATAATTGATGTTTTTGAATGCCCAAAGAAAGTTGTAATTACATACACTGTCATTTTTTGAAAGATCTCAAAGCTTTCAAGATTGTGAAATTCATTTATGTGTAATCGATTGATATAAAAGATATGCATGTCTTAGTCAAACCGATAAATGACACCCTGCATGCTGTAGTTAGGATTGTGTGTACATGATAAGTTAGTCTTTGAAGGGTTTTGAATTCAGGTGTATACTTAACACTCATCTAATTTAGATTAGTCCCCCTCCCCTGCATTAATCATTAACAACAATTAAAGAAAGAGAAAAAAACTGGAGCAGATAAAGATCAAATTTTGAACAGGTTGCATTTAAAGGCCTTGACACGGATTACCAGCTTGTCTGAAGGTCGTCATGAACAACAAAAAAGTTTTTCTTCAAAATACCTTCTTTTTAAGAGAAATCTTCAAAACGCCTTGTTTTCAACAGAAAAAAGATCCCCATTATCGATTTTTAGAGCACAGCAAGGTTGATAATTCTCTTATTGTTACCTGACCAGCTGCCTTGTTTGTACTATTTAGTGATATCTACCTATTTCTAATGCATGCTGAGTATCGTTTTATTAAAATTTTTGTATATTTTCTGTGTTCCTTTGTTTATGATACATGTACAAATATCGCCATACACACATACATGTATTTTTGTATTATGAAGAATGATTTTTATGCCCCCGTAATGATAGATCGGGGATGGGGTGGGGGGTATAATTATAGATTTTGCCCTGTTTCTATCTTTTTGTCTACAAAAACCTTAAGGAAGCTCTAAACACTGCACACTAAAGAGCTCTACTTAAAGGGTAGTTTTATGCAGTTAGAGTGATCTGCCCTTAGATGTATGATTATAAAAAACGTTATTTACAGTTAATTACATGATTTGTAACAGATTAAAATATTTTTAGCATTATATAAGACTAAGAATAAGAAATTTAATCAACTAATTTTATAAATTTTCTGAAGGTATGTTAACAACAGTGACTTTTGCTCACAAATAGTCCATTGTCTTTGGACATTATTCCTGCGGAAATAAAGCACACCCTATGTTCTAAATGGATGAAAAAGTCTCAATATGCACATCTTTATATGATACATTTTTTGTCAGTGTTTAGAGCTTCCTTAATCTTGCCCATTGCTTTTCATTGCTTGAAGACATGACTGTAATATTTCACATGTCTATTCCTTGTGGCAATACCTTTCTTTGAGTATGAATATATTTGATAATTTTGAGCTATCTATATGTCCTTCTACATGTATGCAAGCAGATTGTACGTTTTGTTACGTTTAGAGAATGGTTCTATTATTATACCGTATAGGGCCATTCTATAAACGTGAAAAACCGTGCAATCTTTTTTTATATATATATTTTTGAGACATTTTACGATCTTACAATTTTTTTAATTAAAAAAAGGGGTAATCGTTCTAAACTTCAGGCGCCTGTGGTTAATCTTTGTTTTAACTTTTTGAACAATTAAAACTATGGCTTTCATATTTCACATGTGTATTCCGTGTGATAAGACCTTTCTTTGACCAACAGTTTTGACCATTTTACCCTTTCTTGGAGATTGACCTATTTTTTAAAAATCTAAAAATTATTCTTTGCCAATGCTTTAAATCCTGCTTCGTGGGAATATGAGTCGACTAGAAGAAGAACACAATTAGTGTCCACTAGTTTTCCAACATTTTATTCTCTCGAAATCGAAAAGTCTGGATTATATAGTTTTTTGCAATGTCCGTCCGTCTGTCTGTCCGCAAAAACATTAACACTGCTAATAACATTTTGACTGGTTGAAGCTATGGCTTTAATATTTTACTTGTGAAATTATTGTGACAAAGCCTTTCTTTGGGTACCAGCATATTTGACCTTTTAAACTTGGAGTTTGACCCACTTTTGCTAGAATTTACCCAACATTAACCTTGCCAATAAATTTTGAACGATTGGTGCTAGGGTTTTCATACATCAAAAGTTTATTCATTATGACAAGACCTTTCATGGATATAGATATATAAATATTTTTAATCTTGAACTTTGATTTTGACCTACTTTGAAAAAAAAAATCTTTCACCTTAGTCATAACCTATGAACAGTAAGTTTTTGTGATAAGGGCTTCCTTTAGATACCAACAATATTGATTTGCAGAACAAAAAATTTTGAATGGTTAGTGCTTAGGCTTTCATGTTACAAACACGCCTTGTTTTTTAGCTTACCTGAGCCGAAGGCTCAAGTGAGCTTTTCTGATCACATTTTGTCCGTTCGTCCGTCCGCCTGTCCGTCCGTAAACTTTTCACATTTTTGACTTCTTCTCAAGAACCACTGGGCCAATTTTGACCAAACATGATACAAAGCATCCTTGGGTGAAGGAGAATTTAAATTCTTAAAATAAAGGACCAAGTCCCCTCACAAGGGGAGATAATCAAGAAAAGACAAAAATAGGGTGGGGTCATTAAAAAATCTTCTTCTCAAGAACAACTGGGCCAGAAAAGCTGAAACTTATGTGGAAGCATCTTGGGGTAGTGTAGATTCTAAATTATTCAAATCATGACCCCCGGGGGAAGGGCGGGGCACTATGGGGAATCTAAGTTTTACAGAGAAATATATAGAAAAAATCTTTGAAAGTCTTCTTCTCAAGAACCACTTGACCAGAAAAGCTGAAACTTATGTGGAAGCATCCTGGGGTAGTGTAGGTTCTAAATTGTAAAAAATCATGACCCCCGGGGAAAGGGCGGGGCCACAATGGGGAATCAAAGTTTTACAGAGAAACATATAGGAAAAATCTTTGAAAATCTTCTTCTCAAGAACCACTGGACCAGAAAAGCTGAAACTTATGTGGAAGCATCCTGGGGTAGTGTAGGTTCTAAACTGTAAAAAAATCATGACCCCCGGGGAAAGGGCGGGGCCACAATGGGGAATCAAAGTTTTACAGAGAAACATATAGGAAAAATCTTTGAAAATCTTCTTCTCAAGAACCACTGGGCCAGAAAAGCTGAAACTTATGTGGAAGCATCCTGGTATAGTGTAGATTCTAAATTGTTCAAATCATGACCCCCGGGGAAGGGCGGGGCCACAATGGGGAATCAAAGTTTAACATAGAAATATATAGAAAAAATCTTTGAAAATCTTCTTCTCAAGAACCACTGGGCCAGAAAAGCTGAAACTTATGTGGAAGCATCCTGGAGTAGTGTAGATTCTAAATTGTTCAAATCATGACCCCCCGGGGGAAGGGCGGGGCCACAATGGGGAATCAAAGTTTTACATAGAAATATATAGGGAAAATCTTTGAAAATCTTCTTCTCAAGAACCTCTGGGCCAAAAAAGCTGAAATTTATGTGCACATGGAAGAATCCTGGGGTAGTGTAGATTTCAAAATGTCTAAATTATGATCAGTGGGGTAGGGTGGGGATGCATTATGTATTACAAGGGAGAAATCTGGTAAAGAACAGAATGGTCTAAGCTTCTCAGGTGAGCGACGTGGCCCATGGGCCTCTTGTTTCTTTTAAAAATTAAAATTGATTTATTATCTCCATGACATAAATACATGTACGTCACCTGTGCAAATAATATGCTTTTATTTATTTTAAGGCCACCAGAATTGTATTTAAAGATGAAATGCCATAACTGGGTCTGGGGCCCCTTTTTCTAAGTTATGATAAATTTACAAAAATTTTAATTATTTTAAAACAAGATTTATAGAAAAAGACGCCTTCTGAATTCGTGTTATAAATAATTTTGAAAAAAAAATTGCATTATCTGGGTATTTTTAGACCCTATGGTAGCAAACTTTGACTTGGTTGTGACCGCATGTTCTTAATTAAGAAGTCTAAGGATTAGAATAGGTAGTGCATGCAATAAAGGAATATGCATGTCCGATGAATCTATCTTATACCGTATGACTTTTGTTATTATTTTGCACATATATAGTCGCTTACTTGCAGAGATCAAATGCCCAATCCGATGAAATATGCTTGACAAAACATGCTAGTCGCCCGCGAGGGGTAGTGGTAAGGGTGTCTGCTCTAGAGTTGCGAAGTAAGGAGTTGATCTTTACGTCTCGGGTTCAAATCCCACTGTGGGACGTGGCGACCAGTCCTTCGGATGAGACCTATAAACTGAGGTCCCATGTCGCATCAGGTGATGGGACAAAAAAGATCCCTCTTTGCTATGGACCGAGCATATAGGTCAAAATTTGCAGCTCTCCAGTGGCAAGTGGTGGAGTGTCTATATGAGTGAAAAATTCTCGAGAGTGCCGTAAAACAACAAACAAAACAAAACATACTGGTTTACTTGATATGTTTACATATATACTTTATCACAGACACGTGGTTTAGGTTAATTTACAACTTCTTTATGCAATTAAAATTTGAATTGGTCAACAAAGGCATAACTACTATGCGCATGGAACCTCAGTGTCTATCGTTTGAGACCAATCAATGCACATGATTGTATTCAATATTACTCGGGAAAGCATGTATAGTCAACTGTCCACCAATCGCCTTGCAAAACTATGAAAAAAAAAATATATGTATACATTGCATATATACAATATATGTTTAAATGTCAGTTTTTTGTAATTGTGAGGATAGAAATTGTAGAACGTATTTTAATAGATCTGTGATTAAATTGCATATAAAATTGACTTCAAATTTTTCAAAATTCAAGTAAACGAATGCTTTTTCTCAAGCACTAAATTTCCTGGTACTTTTTAAGCGGTTAGCTTCGCTAACCGCTTTATGGCATGTGTCCGATTTTTATCGACACCGGAAACTTCCAGAAGGCGCTACCTATCGACAACAGAAACTTCAACAAAGCCTCTACCTAGTACCTATGATTTGTTTCTAACACATATATAACATATGTTAAATAAAATCAAGACTATCAAAACAACATAATATTTCGGTTTTTTAATTTTTTTTCTGATTTTGTTTGTCAATGAAATAAATTTATAATTGTTGTATTAAAAAAAGTTTATGTATAGGAGCATTTGGTGTCGAGATTAAATTTCCGTGACATCAGCTGATGGCGATCGGGCCCTGTGACGAAATTCGAAGTCAGCATGAAGTTTAGCTGATAACATTATCAACGCGTTAGATTTAAACTTTAGAAAGAAATGTATAGCGAGAAATATCATATTTGAACCCAATGCTACACGAAAACCAGTAGGCATATCCGATTTATGTGTTAAATTGAAGCCTGAATCGAACAGGGGGTCAAAATGGCGTTGGACGTCTTGTGTATTTATATATAGAGGGGGTAGAATGTTTCGATATTTGGCTAATCTAGAGACTTACTGAAAAAAATTCAGGTGCCTGTGATTAATTATAAGGCCCCCCTCATGAACAATAAATATTTGACCGAATTATGCTACTGGGCACAGGGAGGACGGGTTAATTACTGGCTAAAGGGGTTGAAGGTTATTAGCGACTGCAAAACATCGGAGAATCTCTCGATCGAGTTTCATTTTCCAAAATATTAAGGCATCCCTTTAATTAACTTAAGTAATACTAGTACACGAAGAAAGCCTTTATATGAAAATACTGAATACATCTGTAAGTTGTACAGTTATGGATTACTTCCATAATGAAACGTT